TGTTCAGACCTCGGCGGCAGGTCTCTAGAGGGCAAGCTGGACTTCTTTTCTTTAATTAAAAGCGAAGGGGAAATTGTATTTGGTCCGGGGCTGAAGTCTTCTCTATTATGATCCAAGTTCCCAACTCCCCCCAGCAAAAAGAATGTTGAACTCTTCCCCTCCTAGCGGGAGCGTTACCCATGCGGCCTAAGTATTTTTGTCTTATTCAATACTCAACCACTAATTCCATGTAACTCTATGACCGTCCAGAAGCCTGCTCCGTTACAACATCGATGTTTCTTACATTGCGGGAGTTTGCGCCGGAATTCAAACGAATTTCAAGATATCCGTATAAACCCGTTTTTTGTGCGCAAAGACAATTAACGCCTAACAAATCTGGCGTAAAGATGCGCGGCAAAGATTAGAAGGTTTGAAAAATTTCTGAGATTTATGAGAATGAAATCGCTGGACCTTTTAGTGATTTAGTTCTCCGGCGGAGACCCACGGGTACCTTAGGTCTCCGATTGGCAAACACTTTTTTGTTTCTCATGATTTTGCTTTTCTTATACCAAATACGATGTGCACCCCGTGACCCAACAACTAGATCAGAGCACTCCCTTTTTTCCTTGCTAGGGCCATAAACCGTTTCACCTTGGTCAAGCAAACGCGCTCCAAGTAAACATCATTGCAGTGGTTGTCCTGCATGCATGCGTTTGTTCAGTTTGCAAAGGGAGCTTCGCAATTTTTTGGATTTTCAAGCTGATATTCGTTCTTGTGAAGTTCAATCGGAGACCGCGTGGCGGTCTGATTGTATCAGTTCCTGTGGAAGTTTAAACATAACATGTAATCTCACAAAACCATTATTAGCTGTTACGCTCGTACGATTATCTTGACATTATGTAGGATTGGAGTCGTGAAAGGAGGAATTATAGCTCGACGAAGACTTATAGTGGAGCTATATCAAGGTGTTATATAACTGATTAAAAGTGACCGCATGCTAAACTCTCAACGCAACAAAATCTCGGTCTTTGAAGACAAATTTGTCCTTAAATTTTGCTGACATTATATCAAGAATTCAAAATCGTTTTCAAACCTCATTATCTGAAAAATACTCACTTAGAAACGATATTCCCCAAATTATCCAAACTTCTCGATTTTCCCTCTCTCAACATGGTGTCGCCGAACATTCGGAACTGCGGATTAGTACGTTTGTCGGCAAAAGCGGGCGCATCGCCACGAAGATCCATCGACTGGAACGAGTTCTGCAAGAACAACGAACCACTTAATCCACGACTTAATCTAGAGAGAAAATGAAATTGCAAGCGAACCCGTATAACTCGTAAGTCGCTATTGCTTAGTTTTGACTTCAGCTCATCAACAACTCGTTTCGGCATATTCTGCCTGTTCCTGTCTGCTGATTTAGATTTTGAAGTCGGGTTTTCGGTCGGAAAAACCCTCGTCCTATCATCTTTCAAAATAGGATGAACGAAATCATCAGAAACGGCTCGTGGCATACCGTTCCTTGTACGAGATGCTGACCTTGCTCCAGCCTTCGACCTATAATTAAAAGATTACTCAAGTTGTGCATTGATATGACTGTATTAAAGCTAGCTACCTAGAATTTGTCATATATTACATTCTACTCATCAAAGCATATAAATTTTACAAAAGAATGAAAGAATATCAAACATTTGCGAGCTTTAAAATTTTGCACTTGTCGCTATTCTCAAAAACTACTAGAATTAGCTCAAACGACTCAAACAAACAAAGAGACAAAGACCCTCAATTTAAACCATCGTGAAAAAACCAATAGTATTAGGTCTTTATCCCCATCCCAGATAAATCCACAATTCGCTACCTTTGTTTAAGAACCTATCATGTTTTACCTTTTAAAAAGATTGAAACTAATATGACCTTGAGTAGCCTCTTTGCGGTCGGGCCTTATAAATTGAACCTCTACTTCTTTTATCTAAATCACTTTTTCTAAATTTTCCTAAAAATATGTGAGAGCGCTAAAACTGTAAGCTCTACCATTATTTCCAGTCTTGTATCAAAGCTCCCTGGAAAAATGTGAGCTAGGCGGTTTCAATAACAGCACATCAACAACAGCACGTTAAGAAGTTCAACTCTCTAGCTCTGAGTGAGAAATACAAATGAGTCAGGTAGGCTTAAAGATAGACAAACAAGTACGTTTTCATCAACAAAAGTTGCAATGCAATGCCGCAAATGCTTTACCTTTTTTACTAAGCGTTTTTCATTTTCTGAATTATGAATTCTTCAGTCTATGAGTGTCCCCAGTTCTGACGAAGTTTGTGAAGGATAACTCGGCATGATTTTTGTTTCTTCTTACACTTCTGTGCTTACATCTTCCCTAATTTTAGAAAATGTGAAAGCAAATGCTCCCGAAGCTCATGTTTGCCTTATAACCCACGGTTAAACAAATGCAATAGCAATTCAAAACCTGAGCGCAACTAGCATGTCTCTTGCTGTATCTGTCACAAATCCAGGTAACTCCAAACGATTTACTATGTAGTGATGATTTTGTAAATTATTGACCAATATATGAGCTATTTCTCAGCTTTAATTCTTGAGTATCTAATCATTCAAAACTAGATGGCACTTAACCTCCTGTATATCGCAACCTCAAGCTCGCAACATGTGACGAGCGCGACCCTCGCCAGATCCAGCTATCTCGCACGGTCCTGTATCTCCCAAGACGTAAGCGAAACGCGGTGCGAACACTTCGCAACATCGGCGCATTGTTAGCAGGATGCGAGAATGTTACGAGATTCGCGATGTGTGACATCGCGACAGGCGCGAGGTGAACTAGTGCGCGGATTGCAGAGAATCAGACATGTTACGAGATTATGAGCATGAGCACGCCATGTTCGTAACATTCTATACGGGCAGTTACATTGCAGACTACACATTAATGACGCACATTTTATCAGCTGTGTGAGTGAGTACTCTTTGTCATATTTAAGGTTTCAACCCCCTTTTGCTCCAACTCAAGCATTTGTTTAATTCTAGATTTTTGAGTGATCGTATTTGTATTTGGGGCCCCAACAACCATTATCTTTTGGTTAGCCTAATAAAAATGACTCCCAAATTTAGAATTGAGCTGTCTCAGAAGAATAAGCGCCTCTTTTGCTTTTTTTCTAATTTATAGGTGTCAAAGGTTATCTTATGTGAGTGATATGTAGCAATTAATTGGTTTTTATAGATACAAGTTGTTTTTCTTGCTTAAATTTTCAAGTTTTTATATGTGTGCAAATGCATTGATTCATTGACGGATTCATGCTTCGATAGATCAAATAGACCAAGACAACATAGCAGCAATTTGTTACTATAGTTTCCAGCTAAAAAACTAATCATCAAAACCTTTACTGATGAATGATATTTGTAATAAGAAGGTCGCTCTTCTGAATTGGCATTTCATTTTTTGCATACATATAACTTCTAAAAACGATTAAACGATATTTTTCTAACTTTATGGTGCAAAAGTTTCTTTAGAAAAGGTGGGTAACTCATCAAGGTGACGAACGGAAATGTGAAAATTGATAGAGAACGATAATGAGGTTAAGAATAAGGAGTTGAAACCTTACATGCGCACTAGAAGGAAGATGACGTGCCCGGATAAGCCAAGCCATTAAGGGAGGAATTAACATTACTTTAAATATCGTATACTAGTATACTAAGTAGTA